GATTAGAAAATCAGACTGACAAAATAACAGGGCTTTAAATGAAAATAAAAACAAATGTTACTCATGAACTAGCCTTCTCTTTATGTGACAAAATACTCATAGAATTTACCATCTTAAATATTAATTGTACATATCAGTGGTACTAAATTCATTCATAATCCTTTTTAACCATCTCACTAAGTCTTAATCTTATAAAACTGAAACTCTATTCTCATTAAAGAATTACTTTCTGTCTCTTGGCAACCACCATTCTAATTTCCTTCTTATCCTTTTAACTAAAGATACCAGAGGCCTTATTTAGATTCAGTCAGTAGTGACAAACATATGTTTATATAAGTTTTTCAAATGAGGAGCTAAAAGAAATCTGCAGACATATGGCAAGAGGCAGTAGATCCATAACCAGAGAGAGAAAAAAATAGTGGAACTGATGTTTAAATTAAAGGTTTTGAAGGAAGTTGTAATGTGTTTCAAATGTGCATGCTGTTTTAGTTAAGTATTCTGTTGCTGTAACAAATCCCTGAATTAAATCAACTGATAAAGGAGAAAATGTTTTGGCTCACAGTCAATTGTCACTTGCTCTGTTGCCTTTGGGCCTGTGGGCAATCATGGTGGATAGCTTGTGGTCAAGAAAACTGATCACCTCATGGTGGTCAGGAAACAGAGGGAGGAGTAGCGGTCTGAATACTGCCTTTAAGGTCATGCCTCCAATAGCCTAATGGTTTTTCACTTCCTACCCCACCTCCTAAAGGCTCTACCACCTCCTACTAATACCACAGAATGGGAACCAAGCCTTTAGTTAAGCCCGTGGCCTTTGGGTAACATTCAGGTTGCAAACTGTAACTGGTCATTGAGGCTCACATTTGTAATCCTAGCTACTTGGGTAGTTGAAATCTGACAGGTCCAAAGCCACCCTGGGCAGGAAAATCCATGAGACTCCATAAGTAGCCAAATAAAAGGCTGGATTTGAGGCATGGCATATGTGGTAGAGTGCCAGCTATAATAGAAAGAGCCAAGCCAGTGTCAGGCCCTGAGTTCAAGCCCTGGTACTTGTGTGTATGTATGTATGTGTATGCATGCACACACACACATGTGTAATACACGCACTGCATGTCACTCACATTCATACCTCTTTCTCTCCCAGCCCTTTAAAGACTGTTTGCATTTTAAGGATTTCTAATCAGGGCTTTATCAACTAAGTGTTTGGTTTTGGTTTTTTTCAAGTATGGGTCAGTAAAGCTACCATAGTCATACTTGGAAAACTAAGATAAGTAGTGATTAAACTTACTTGTTGATCGTATAGCCTTCTTAAATATTTAATTCAATTAAAGATTACCCAGAAAATTTGTAAGTTTTTAAAATATCTGTTTTTTTTTTTTTGGTCCGGTCATAGGACCTGAACTCTGGGCTTGGGCACTGTCCCTCTGCTCTTCAGCTCAAGGCTAGCGCTCTACCATTTGAGCCACACCGCCACTTCCGGCTTTTTTTTTCTGCTTATGTGGTGCTGAGGAATCAAACCCAGGGCCTCATGCATGCAAGGCAAGCGCTCTACTACTGAGCCACCTTCCCAGCCCCTATCTGATGTTTTTTAAAAAAATTATAATACTTATCATTTCCTCAATTTTTTCTTTAATGAAATAGACAAAAATAAGAATAAAATCTACTGGCCATATAATTTTATTGCTTGAAAGGATCTTTGGTCTTTTTAGTTCATAAAATAAATTTATTAGTTTATGATTTTTTTTAATTCCATGGGAAAGTATTGAATGTTTGTTGAGTTATAAGGATATGTCTGTTCTTTTGTGGGTGTAATGCATACATCTTAAGGTTTGTTTGTTTGTTTTAAAAGTATTTCTACTAAGAAATCTTAAAGCTATGGCTTTTGGATTTTAATAACAATAATCATGAACAGCAATGACATTCTTGGCAATTGTCCCAAGGACAGCATGAAACTAAGCCAAGGAGGAGAAATTGACTACTTCCAATTTGGTGACCTAGAGCCATGGAATTAACTGCAGCTGTGTTGATGTGGCATGCTTGAGAACAAAGTGATTTCCTCATACTTGTTTGCTGGATGAGAGCAATAATAGAGATAGCCATTTAGAGCTCCTTAGTGACATGGTAATGCTGATTAAGCACTGGGAGTATTTCTTATGCACTGAAAGGGCTTTGTGATTACAATAAATTAGTTATGTGCCTCTGGGCCAATAAGTAGGCTCCGATTACATTATACTTGCTTTTGATCACTTTGTGTATACTCCAATTATTTTTATTAGGGTCTTACCTGCCAAATAATGGTATTTTAATGTTGTAGATAATCTCTCTTTTTGTTATTTAAAAATTCCAAACAATATGGCTATAATAGTAATTTAAAACATTATTATTATACATTATATTATATAATCTATTATTATTACATATTTGCTATTATATTATTATAGAGAATAAGGAGTTAAAAATTAATGCCATCTGGGCTGGGAAGGTGGCTCAGTTGTAGAGTGCTTGCCTTGCATGCATGAGGCCCTAGGTTAGATTCTTCAGCACCACATAAGCAGAAAAAGCCAGAAGTGGCACTGTGGCTCAAGTGGTAGAGCATTAGCTTTGAGCTGAAGAGCTGAGGGACAGCACCTAGGCTCAGAGTTCAGGCTCCATGACCAACCCCCCCCCAAAAAAATATATTTATATATATGCCATCTAAGAATCAACTTTTAATAGTTTGGTGTTTGTGGTTATAAAACTTTTCATTTAGGTATGTGTGTGTGTGTATACATACATATATATATATATATATATATATATAGCTAAAGGATATTTTAAGAAAAATTAATGCGCAATAGCTTGTCATTTTTTTTTTGTGGTGCTGAAGATTGAACCTAGGACCTTGTACATGCAATGCAAATGCTGTACCACTGAGCTATGCATCTAATCCTTTTTTAAACTCCTTTTGACAGTACCAGTTTTTATAATTTCAACATAAAGGTCTTTTACCTCCTTAATTGGGATTTCCTTATTATTTTTTTCAGGACTTCGGTTTGAATACAGGGACATGCCCTTGCTAGGCAAGAACTCTACTGCTGAACTGCACCTCCTGCCTTTTTTTGTGCTAGTTATTTTGGAAATTTTTTTTTCTGCCTGGTCATGTGTCTGGATCACAGTCTACCTGTTTTAGGCTTCCCATAGTTGGTGGGATGGTGCAGCTTCCCACTGCTGAGAAAAAATCTTTTGAACTCCATTGCCCACATTGGCCTGGAATTGCTGTTTCTTGATGTCAGCCTCTCATGTAGGATGAAAGGCATGAACCACTACACTTGTCAGTGGAGCAGGGGTCTTATGAACTCTTTTTCCCTGGGTGTCCTTAAACTACAATCCTCCCAATCTTAGCCTCTCAAGTAGGTAGAATTGCAAGTTAAACTACCAGCACTCAGCTGGTATTTTATTTTTGTTTTTTATCAGTTGTGGACCTTGTACTAAAGGCCTGGGCTCTGTCTTTGAGCTTTTTTCACTCAAGGCTACTGCTATTCAACTTTGAGTCACAACACTACTTCCAGTTTTCTGTTGGTTAATTGGAGATATGAGTCTCATGGATTTCCCTGCCTGGGCTGTCTTCAGACCATGAGTCTCAGATCTTAACCTCCTGAGTAGTTAGATTACAGGCATGAGACACTGGTGCCCAGCTTGGTATTTTGTTTTTGGAGGCTATTATGAATGGTATTTTCCTGCTTTTGTTCTTGGCTGGTTTATTGTTGGTGTATAGAAATGTTACTGGAAGGACTGGGAAGGTGGCTCATTGGTAGAGTGCTTGCCTTGCATGCATGAGACCCTGGGTTAGATTCCTTAGCACCACATAAACAGAAAAAGCCGGAAGTGGCGCTGTGGCTCAAGTGGTAGAGCGCTAACCTTGAGCTGAAGAGCTGAGGGACAGTGTCCAGGCCCAGAGTTCAGGCCCTACGCCTGACCAAAAAAAAAGAGAGAGAGAGAGAGAAATGTTACTGGCTTTTCTACTGATTTTTTTTTATCCTACTACTTAGATGAAAGTGTTTGTCAAATCTAAAAGTTTTCTGATGGAATTTTTAGGGTCTCATAAGTATAGGAACATATCATCTATAAATAAAAATAATTTGATTTCTCTTTTATTAGTATCCTTTTAATTTTTTTCTCTTGCATTTTTGTCTGAGAATAATTTGTCAGTCTGATGGTATGTCATTACTTGGGTTTATGTTTCTCTAATAAAAAGCTTGCATTTTTCATATATTTATTGGATATTTGTTATCTTTTATGATTACTCTTTCCATTTCTTTGCTTGGTTTTCTTGAGTTATTTTTCTTATGCTAGTTGCTAATTGTAGATAATTACTTCATAGCCTATCATTTATATTTTATATTTTGTTAGTAGAATCTTTTATCAACTAGGATTTTTCATTTTAAATAGTTGTGTCTTTGTTTTCCTTCATTAAATTTGGATTTTATACCATTGCTTTTCTTTATAAAATAAAATATTATTTTAAATAGACCTCTTCTATTCCAAGATTAAACAGCATTTCACATATTTTGTTTTAATTCTTTTTTTTTTTTAGTTTAAGAAAATGTTTAGGTCTACAATCAGTTTGAAGTTATTTATAAAGTATAAGTAAGCTTGCTACTTTTTTCTCACATGAATCTAAAATTACTTCAGTGTCATTTATTGAATAGTGTGTGTGTGTGTGTGTGTGTCTACTCATTGATTTCAATTTTTTCTTAATCTTGAGTTCCCATTTCATACTTTTCTATTATTTTTATTCCTATTATTCTATTATTTCTGTATTCCTACACTTGCCATTATGCTGCAGTGATACCTGGGAGGGGAAAAAATTCTTTTTTTCCAAAAATTTTAACTGGTATCAGCAATTTATTTTTCAGAAGAACATTAGTTCTTATCCTAATACTTTTTTTAGTCTTGTACTTTGGGTTTCATTTTTATATGTTGTTTATTTAGTTCGTCTTTCTCCCCTTTCCATTTCAGAAGCTGGAGTGTGGAAACTCACAAGAGACAGTTCAGCCTAGAAGGGTAGTCATTTCTCATAATATGGATAAAGCTTTGAAAGAAGGTAAGAATTATATAATGTCATTGTAAGATAATTCATTTATGTTCTAAAAGGAAAATAATAATCCAGCACATTTATCATTAGGGTTTTTTAAAATGAATTTATACTTGATAACTACATCAGAAATATCTGTATTTTTGGTTGAGTGGAAGTGATTTAAAAACTTACTGAATAGGAACATCCACATCATATGAAGCTACCCAGCCAGATGGAGCTTGGTCTACTGTGCGAAGTACAGGTCTGCTGTCTTGTCTCTCAAGTACACACCAAAAAAATCACATTTTTTCTTCTAGATATAGCCTAGGGAAAATGTGTTAGAGATGAAGCTATTGTTTTATGCTAGAGACCCTTAAATTTTTCCTAAAGCTACATTTCCTTGAAATGTAGATAGACAGAAGACTTGTAAGCATCTTTTTAATTTACTATTAAATCTGATTAGTTCTATTGTCTAATTTTCACTAGACTAACTTGAATTGTCTCACAGGTATGGACCAGGTAATTTTGTAATTTCTGAGTAATAGCCATTTGCCCAGTCATTTCCTGAATGCTAGGTTCAATTGCTTATTTCGATGGTCCTTTAGTATTTGTGAAGATTTTTCTTTTCCTTTTTAATTTGGAAGATTGAACCTAGCGTTTAGTGAGTGGTAAGCATGTGCTGAATTGAAAATATAACACTTCATGTGATTTTATCCTTTGCATAGTATTGTGGATGTTACCTTAGACTTTGTCTTGTAAGTTACTGTCGGAATGGCTTAGAAATACCATTACCTTTACTATTTTTTATGATGGGTTTCACAAATGCATTGTTAAATGTATATTTCACAGTGAATACATTTCTATTAGTTTTGATTGGCTTTCAGTGTGTTTCTATTTGTTACTGCTGTGTTGCAGATCAAATATGGGACTTTAGGCATGATAGGCAAATCTTTAACTACTGAGTAAAAACTCTCAGCCCATTAGTACTTTTCTAAATTTCAGTAACAAATTTTCCTAACTATACAAAGGGTCAAAACAATCAGGTAACAGAAGATATCTGTTCTTGATAAGGTTAATCTAATGTGTAATAATTTTGTGGGATGGGTACTGGACTTGAACTCATGGTCTCACACATGCTAGGAAGATGCTATATTACTTGAGCTGTTTCTCCCAGCCCTTGTAGTTTTTACTAGACTTCCCTGTTGGCTATTCCAGAGGAGGCTAGCCTATTCAGGAATTATATGGTGACACTAAGGAAGCAAAGTTTATATCTGAAAGGCTTTGACTTCATGCACCCCTTTAGACTCATCTCATTTAGTTTGTTACTTTTTGCCAATTGGCATGCAATAGTTAGACCTTTTTGTTCAATGAATAAATTGATCAATTGATATAAAAAGGAAATTATCCTATGTTCAGGGGATTATTGCTCATGCCTATAACTCTTCTCAGGAGGCTGAGATGTGGAAGATTGAGGTTCTGAGATGTGGAAGATTGAGGTTCAAAACTAGCCAGGTCTCCATTTTCAATAAACAGGCAAAATTCTAAACTGAAGCACATACACACACATAAACACACACACATACACAATTGCACATATTTTTACTAGGCTTTGGGTTCAACACCCCACATAAAAAAGGAAACATATTCCATAAAGAACCATGGAAATAAGCAATGGAATTATTGATGTGCTTGATTGTTATAAGTAGATCAGGAGGACTAGTTATTTGTTCCAGGAGATCCAGGCCCTAGACTTTTATGATGTGTTGTGGAGAGACCTCATATGATTATCCTAGATAATATCCTAGATATGATTATAATCATATGAGGTCTATCTAGGATAATCATAATGAGGTAGGATTCTTCCTAAATTAATTGACATCTTATTGAAGACAGAAACCAAATAATAATTGAACAGGAAAAATTAAATATTAAAAACTATTATATATGCAATTAACCACTAAGGGGGTAAAGAGAATAAAGAATATAGGAAAAATATATAATGGGAGTGGCCAGTAGCTCTAGGTACTGAAGCAAAACATTTGAGGATGGAATAAATTTGGAAGAAATGTACTTCACTTCAGTATTCAGTTGTAGGGCTCTTGGAAAAGGTGTAGCTTTGGCCTACATGATGGTTGAGAAGTTTGGGACAACATCATAGGCTAGGGAAAGTATATTACTACTTTAAGTGGTTGTGTGTGTATATGTATTGTATGTGTATATATGACATACACGCATATACACATGTACTTAACTGAGTGTTTTCAAAATTAGATTATTTAAAAAATCTAGAACATGTAGTTTTAGTTAGATGAGGGTCTTTGAAAAGATTTAATGATAATGACCTGTCTTGTCTTGAGTTTTCTATGTTGTTTATATTTTAAACAATATTAAACACTAGGCAGCTAGTGTCTTGTGAAAATGCTGCCTTGGCATTTGGTTCTTTCATCTGAGATTTACTCATTGCTCTGTTTATTCCTGATAGTGTTTGACTACAGTTACAGAGATTATATCCTCTCTTGGTATGGTAACCTCAGCAGAGATGAGGGACAGCTTTACCATCTGCTCTTGGAAGACTTTTGGGAAATTGCCAGACAGCTACGCCACAGGCTGAGTCATGTGGATGTGGTTAAAGTTGTCTGCAATGATGTTGTGAGGACTCTACTCACTCACTTCTGTGACCTGAAAGCAGCTAATGCCAGGTAACCGATCACATCAATAGTTTCCTTCCCTTTTCAGTTCTTTTATTGAGTAAAGGGTCAAAATCAAAGTAATCCTATAGAGTAGTCTGTCTCTTATTGGCACTTGACCTGAAAATATAAACATTTGGAGTGAGAGTAATTATGATGTTCTGATAAAGTGGAATTTTTTGGTAACTTTTTAATATAAACTATTTACATATGTGGTTTATATTTTAATTTTTTAAATAAGATAATGAAATGAATTTTATTAAGATTGTACCATGATGAACTTACTTCCACTAATATGGGTACTTGGAGATAGAAAAATTTAAATATAGCATTTTATAATGTAGAGTTTACAAAGTTTAGAAAACTTTAAGCATACTTTATTTTCTCTTATTTATTTATTTATTATTAAGAGAAGTTCCTGTATTAATAGTGCAGTGACATCACAATATCTTGGAAACTTTTTTTTTTGGTGTGTGTACACTGGTCCTGGGGCTTGAACTCAGGGCCTAGGCATTGTATCTGAGCTTTTTTGCTCATGGTTAGAGCTCTATCACTTGATCCACAGCTCTATTTCTGGCTTTTTGGTGGTTAATTGGCGATAAAAGCCTCATGGGTTTTTCTGCCCATTGAATTGGGATCCTCAGATCTCAGCTTCCTGAGTAGCTAGGATTGCAGGTGTGAGCCACTGGTGTCTGGTTTAGAAACTGATTTCTTTTTCCAGTCCTGGGGCTTGAACTCAGGGCCTGGGCACTGTCCTTAGCTTCTTTTACTCAAGGCTAGCATTCTGCCACTTGAGCCACAATACCACTCCTGGCCTTTTCTGGGTATGTGGTACTGAGAAATTGAACCCAGGCCTTCTACCACTAAGCCACCTTCCCAGCCCCAGGAACTGATTTTTTAAGGAACTTAATATTAGAGTTTCTGGGCTCTAATTAGAGAATTTGCTTCATTGTGTTTCATTATGAAAATAGTGGGTATAGGCTTTGGAGATGCTTATATGGCTAAGTTGGAAAGGTCTGTCTGTTCCAATTAGGTAAGAACCTGCCTTTGGAAGAAGACTTAAAACTATTTTTGTGTTCATAAACAAATTCTTATTTTCTTTAGTTTGTTGATAAGATCTTAAATGTACCTCTTACCTTGCATTGCAGCACTTATAACTTGTGCATAAAAACATGGTCTTAAAAAATGAATAACTTTCTGCCTACTTGAATATGGACTTGGTTGAATGGAATGGGAATACCTTTAGTAAATATGGTCTGTTCTCACTTTCACAGAAAAGTTGAAGTATTTAAGCTACATCAGGTTCAGTCAGCATTAGTAGCTCTCCTTATAAGCTCTCTTGTATAAATTTATCAAAATAGTCCCTGTCCTGTGACATTATCCTTGCAGTGGGTTCTGATGGCTAAATGTGATTATGTGGCAGGTCTCCATTCACATTTATATTATCTGTTCCTATGAACTGCTTTCTCTCCCCAAATCTACCAACCTGAAGGTTTATGAGGCCAAAATCCAGAATCATCAGTTACCAGTTGTTTTCTAGCTTGCTGTTTCAGTGTTTTTCAAACTTTAACTGTGACACATCATGAAATAGATATTTTTTTATTTTTTATTATCTTTAAGTAGTTGTACAAAGAAGTTCCTATTCTACAAGATAGTATATGAATACAAAGTGTCTGATAATATTGTCACCCTTCGCTCCTAAGTGAGATAGACATTTTAAGTTGCTAAAGATGAAGCTAAGTGTTTGAGTGCTTGCCTACCATGTGGAAGACCCTAGGTTCAATTTCTAGTACCATAAAATCAATCAATAGATAAACAAAGTGACCCACATAAGATAATGCTGTTATTGTGATAAGCTTTGAATTTTTAAAAATGTTTTTAAAAAACACAGTCTGTGACTTAGTTTTATATTGTTATTTCCTGATCGTAATGACCTATGGGTTGGAAGACTTTTTCATATTTTTTTTAATGGATCCCTCTACAATCTTAAAAAGCTGTTGAAAACCTTTTTGATCCCTGGATTCCTTACAATCTTAAAATCAATCAAGAACCTCCTAGAGCTTTTGTTTATGTGTGTCATGTTATAGTGCTTTTACTGGCACATGGGAGCTGAATGTGCATATCTCTTCCCAACTCTCTAGTGAAATCTGTTTACATTGTGAGAATGGCAAATACTTCAAATTGGTAATTTTCCCTCATGGGGGAAGTTGCTAAACAATGTTTACCATGTTAGATATTAAAACCAAGACATCTTTAAAGTTTAAGAGTACACAATACACTTCCCATTTACTATCAAAGCAGTGATGTCTTCACACTTGACACAAGCAGTGGATACCTCCACTACACTTGTAAGAATGACAGCAAAAGACAAATGACTTTTTTATATTACTAAGAGTTACAGTTTTAACTTCACAGATTCCTAGAAGGAGCCTGGAGATAAAACTCTCTGGGATACCTTTGGAAAACTGTGGTAAGTTTCAATAAGGAGAAAGTGAGAGAAGCAAGGAAAGTGAGAGAAGCAAGACTTTTGGGTCACACCTTTAAAGTCTCAATAGTCAGTGCCTCTTCTTTTGAAGTATTGGTCAGTGTCTTGAAGTACCTGCTAATTTGCTGTGGTACTCAAGAATAAGTTGTTAGTTCTTGCCTGAAACAATCAGGCAGTAACAACTGCCACAGAATTGATTGAATTAGTGGAAACTCATTTTAAATTACTTGAATTACACTCCAATAGGAGACATTATTTTTATTTTAAATCACTTAAAAGAATGATGGGTTTAAGTGAAAAGGACAAGTGAGTAGAGTTTTTTTTTTTGGGTCCAGTTGTGGGGCCTGAACTCTGGGCCTGGGCACTGTCCCTCAGCTCTTCAGCTCAAGGCTAGCACTCTACTACTTGAGCCACAGCGCCACTTCCGGCTTTTTTCTTTTTGCTTATGTGGTGCTGAGGAATCGAACCCAGGGCCTCAGGCATGCAAGGCAAGCGCTCTACCACTGAGCCAACTTCCCAGCCCGAGTAGAGAAATTTTGTGTCTTTATAATTACCAAACTTATTTTTTAATTGTATTTTTAGTCTTTAGTCTTTTTTTGGAACTGGGGATCGAACCAAGGAAGGTGCACTTGCTAGACAAGTGCTACATCCCAGTACTACTGAGCTACATCCCAGCACATAAATATCGAATTTCATCATGAGAATTTATTTATCATTAGGATATTAATCAGCTTCTGAGGTTAATTTTTTTTTAATTGTGACTGTAGGTTATTTTTGAAGGTAATAGAAAGATAAATTATAAGTAAAACATCAAAATAATAGAAACAGAATGGATTCCATGGTAGAAGCTTCATTTCTTTGGCCTTTCAGTTTTCTTACATCCTTACTATTGTCTAGACTATTCCTAGATAATGGTTGATAATAAAAACAAAGAATAAAGAACAAAATAATGGGGAGAAAAGCGTAGTATTATTCTCTGAAGTTTATAGATATTTGGAAAAGTGCCTTTAGGTTACTGATATTTTGCATATAGATGATTGCTATGGAGAACTAATATTATCTGTGTATCATAACCTACTAATTAAATAGCAAGGCTGGCAGAAAATGAATCTAGGTTTGGTTGTTGTATTCATATCTGCTTGATCCACGTAAAGTATTTTTTCCTAGAAATTTCCACTGGTGTGCAAGTCTTCACTGGGTTACAAATGACTTTGGTAGCTTGAAAAAGCCCAATTGAATTGGCCACTCTCAGACAAAAAAAATAATGAATTGCATTAATTAAAGCAACATATCTTTTGGCTGACTGTTCCGCACTTATATGGAGACAGCTTTCCAGTCAACCTAGATTTATCTCTAGCTTGTCATTCTGTTACAACTTCAAGCCAATCCAGATCACATTTAAGTGATGCTTCCCATTCTTTTAACCCATTTGTCTTGTTTCAGCATGATGGAAAATCTAAAAACAATTGCTTTTATACTACTAATTCAGTTTTTTTTTTTTCGGGGAGAGGAGGTTGGTGGTCAGGGGCTTGAACTTGGCCTAGGCCTGTCCCTGAGCTCTTTTGCTTGCTCGTAGCTAGCATTCTACCACTTTGAGCCTCAGTGCCACTTCCAGTTATCTGGTGATTAATTGAAGATTCGAGTCTCAAGGACTTCGTGCTTGGGCTGGCTTTGAACCATGATCTGAGTTGCTTGGATTACAGGTGTGAGCCACCATTGCTCGGCTTAATTCAATGTACCTTTAATTTCATAGTTTCTTTACAGTCTCTGTTTGCATGTACTGGCATGCTGTGTGAGGAAAAATGTTTTTACTCATATATTTTCCTTTTTCTTCTCTGGCATTTTTCCTTTTGTAATCTGATTATGGCATCATGTAGAGTCAACTTGAGAGTCAGACTGAATTGTGACTTTATTCACATAGCCATGCAGAACTTAATTTTCTCTATAGAACAATGATGATGAAAAATACTTTTTGTAGTTGGGAGGATTAAGTAATCTGGTGAGAAGAAATTTATAAAAGGTTAATATCCATTTCCTCACCAAAGGATGAGAACCCAAAGGTAAGTAGTAGCAATTACAGTAAAGAAATTATTATTATTGTTGGGCGCTGGTGGCTCACGCCTGTAATCCTTGCTACTCAGGAGGCTGAGATCTGAGGATCGCGGTTCAAAGCCAGCCCGGGCAAGAGAGACCGTGAGACTCCTATCTCCAATAAACCACCAGAAAACTGGAAGTGGCGCTGTAGCTCAAGTGGTAGAGCGCTCACCTTGAGCTGAAGAGCTGAGGAACAGCGCCCAAGCCCAGAGTTCAAGCCCCACGACTGACCAAAAAAAAAAAAAGAAATTATTATTATTATTTTTTGGGGGGTGTCCAGTTGTGGGGCCTGACCTCTGGGCCTGGGCACTGTCCCTCAGCTCTTCAGCTCAAGGCTAGGGCTCTACCACTTGAGCCACAGCGCCACTTCCCGGCTTTTTCTGCCTATGTGATGCTGAGGAATCGAACCCAGGGCCTCATGCATGCAAGGCAAGCACTCTACCACTGAGCCACCTTCCCAGCCCCAGTAAAGACATTATTGATCCATGCAATAGAAGGATGCTACAAAGATGAATGCTGGAATCTACTAGAAAGTTATCAAGACTCATAATCCTCATGACTCTTGTCTTCTAAAGCTCTACCTATGTCTTTTTACAAGAGGGAAATGAAAATTTTCTGCTCAGAGTTCATACAAAGATTTGAGGGAAGTCTTTCTAAGATGTCTGACCAACTCTTAGGCCTTGACACACTCAGGTTTTTATTTTTTCTAACTCAGTTTTATGAGGGAGAGGAATTATGGCATTCTGAGTTTGCTCCACTTTTTAAAAATAGCTCTCTTATTGGTATAGAAGACAAAGCACTAAGCACTTTGAGAAAGGGATTTTCATATTCCCTTATAAAAGTGGATTTTCCTTTGGCTAACTGCCTTCAATAAATAATAGCTAAATAAATATTTTACAGTAAAAAATGACCTTTAAGGGTGCTTGCCATGACTAAGGAGTAGTATCTTATTGTTACTATATTCAAATATCAAGTCTAATTGGCAGCTATCCTTTAAAATAATTCAAGATACCATTTTTAAAAGTCAACAAATGTCAGTGTATGAATAAATGTTTACACTTAAAATTTCTGTGTGTGTTGTTTTGCATATTAGGGTATATTTTCTCTAGCGTGCTATAGAAGACAAAGAGGAAATTTTTCTTTTCTTAAGTGCACATACTCTCAAGTCTTTCTTCTCTAGAGCGAAAAAAATCATGTTAATTTTCTGAGAGACATTTTGTCACAAAGACACCAACATGCATTTTCTTATTCATTTCATTTACTATGTGATATCTAGCGTGTTTCTTCTTCTCTGCTTATGGTATTTTCTCAGTATTGTACACTAGTTATTATAAGAATGTTTTTTAAACTGTTTCATAGCTAGAAGATACTAGAAAAATTAGTTTCCCACTGTTCTCTTGATTGCTATTAAGATACTATGGAAAGGAAAAGTCTAGACAGTTCTTTCTTCTTTCACTCAGATCTCTCAAATTAATTGGTCTTGGGATGGAGTCCGTGTTGATAGAGAAGTCCATGGCTAATGTTGGAAAACAACCTAGGAGCCTCACAAAATTTATAACATCAAGTTATCCTTCTTCTCCTCAATAAAAATAACACATAGATATATTAGCCTGTGATATCCTAGTCAAGAAAAGTAGTTAATGACACTAGTTTATGCTGTGTGTGTGTGTGGTTCTTTAGAAAAAGGTGTAGATTATACCTAAAAAGATACCTAGAGCTGGGTGCCAGTGGCTCATGCCTGTAATCCTAGCTACTCAGGAGGCTGAGATCTGAGGATCACAGTTCAAAGCCAGCCCGGGCAGGAAAGTCTGTGGGACTCTTATCTTCAATAAACCACTAGAAAACAGGAAGTGGTGCTGTTGCTCAAGCGCTTGCCTTGAGCGAAAGAGCTGAGGGATAATGCCCAAGCCCAGAGTTCACACCCCACGATGAACAAAAAAATTAAAAAAAAGATACCTAGAAAATTTTAAAGTAGGCCAGCTAACATTTTTTGGATTATTTTTAGGATTTGGAGTTACCTATGATTCTTTGTGCTACTTGATATTTTATTTAAATTTCTGCAAGGCTATGTATTGCACTTATCCCAGCACAAATTTTCCAGATTATTCTGATTAAGGAAATTGTTGATCATTTGTATTGTTGAGGTAAAAGAGTTATAATCAGTATGTTGAGATACTGAATTGTTTCTAGAAATTTTCTTCCTTCCTTTTACCTTTCTTATTTAGACATGAGGAACAGCCAAGACCTTTTGTGTTGCATACATGCTTGAGGAACGCAAATGATGAAGTAAGATTCCTACAAATGTGTTCTCGAGTTCTGGTATTTTGTCTCCTCCCCTCAAAGGATACCCAGTCTCTCAGCTTACGTATCATGCTTGCGGAAATACTCACTACAAAAGGTAGAATTATACAATTAATACTACTAATTTGATAAGTATATAGTTTATGTAATATGAAAACAGTTCTCTTAAAGTGAAATATTTTTTCAGTGGAGCTTTTTCTTCTTCCCACAGTCTTAAAGCCAGTGATAGAATTGTTAAGTAATCCAAATTATATTAACCAAATGCTGCTTGCCCAGTTGGAATATAGAGAACAGATGAATGAGCATCACAAGAGAGCCTACACATATGCTCCTTCTTATGAAGAGTTCATCAAGCTTATCAACAGCAACTCTGATGTGGAGTTCTTGAAACAACTAAGGTACCTGGTCTATGATTTTAGCACAATAGCTACTAATTATCATCTCCTGTATAGGTAGGCTAATGTATGTATATGGTTTTCAGAGAAGTCCATAAATTTTTACCATTTGTTGACAGCTAAATTTATGCAACTTCTTACCTAAATTTATACAACTTAACTACTGAATTAGAATGTTTTTTTGAAGTATTTGTGATTCTAATAATTAGATTCTAATAAACTGAAAGCTCTTTGGTTGTTAGGTGCTTAGATACTTAATTTTTTAAAAGTACTTGAAAAAGACATGATTTTTAATTACAATTTAGAACACTATTGGTCTTTTACTTTTCTTGGAAAATACAGAGGTTGGGTATGGGAATAAGAGGTTTCTGACTAATTATTTTGAGAAATCATATTTGGAAATGTCACAAGAATCTCTTATATGGGACCATATCTGAGATATTTTAACGGTGAGTGTGTATTTTTCCTTTTACATTATATACTTTATAGTATGATTATGTAGTATTATCTAGTTTGTGGATTTTATAGGCTTTTTTTTCTTCTTACCCTTCCCTTTTAATATTTTTCAATGAAAATACTTGGAGAAGAAAGATGGAATGTTAGTTTTGATTTTCATTAGTAATCTGGTAAATCATTAATGTAAAGGTAAAATATTAACTAAAATTGGGTCTTTGAACTATTCAAGATTAGATTTCTCATATTTGAAATAGGGTTAATATTAAAGTGTCTCAAGCTGTGTAATTTTCCAACCTAAATAATAAATTCACTATTCAAGAGCCATACACTGTTTTGATAAAAATTGTGTCATATGTTAATCTAGGTTCCACAAGTGTATAATGTTCAATTCAATTGTATGCCTTTACTTACAAATAATCTATGTGGGCTATAATAGTTGGATAATATTTTATTCTTCTTCCTAGCATAATCTTTAATGAACTAAATGGTAGTCATGTATTATAGATTTGTGAGTGTATGTGAATCTACAAACTACATTTTGAGAATTGTTACATGTGAGCTTATAGGGAACCCAACAGCCAGTATTCCATATTTGTCATCTGAGGCTTGCAGGTAGATCATCCCTTGTCATGACTTATCATAAAGAAATGATAACTTTATGGAGCTAGGTATAGTGATGTATGACTATAATTCCAGCACTCTAAAAGATGGCAAGATGGCAAGTTTGAGGCCAACCTAATGTATATAGTGAGTTACGAGATGGCGTGAACAACATAATGAGGCCCCGTCCCCAAAACAAAAACCAAGCATGTTTCTTACAAGGACACACACTTATGCTGCCTGTTTTCCTTAAAACAGTATGTATACTATTTATAAGGTTATGTCTTTGTTGCCTTGTATGTCCCTCCCCCATGGTATAACCCCTGCTTTCACTATATATGATGTTGGTATATGTGGAGGGGAAGGGAAAAACAAATTGTTAAAACAGGGATACAGGAGGACCCATTGCAGCAATGAGATGTACAAGTCGTTATGTCGAAAAACGAACTTTACAACTGTGGCGGGGGGGGGGGGGGGAGACGGGTGGGGAGGATATGAAGGGACGGGAAGGGGAAACAAAGCAGGAGGCTACAATGCTTGATAAGAAATGTGCTCATTATCTTACCCATGTAATTGTAACCCCTCGGAAAAGAATTTCACAATAAAAATATATATTAAAAATGCAAAAAAAAAACCAGTATGTATACATACCAAGCTTCTGCCAAACCATTCAACCATTCAACTCCATTACTCATCCATCTGGTGATTTTCTGCCTACTTTCTAGATAACTTGTGTGGTGTGAACAAAGTAACATATGCTAGCCACTCTGTAGATCTTCCTAAGTCCTTGTTTAAGAACAGATGTGAGAACACTTGTGTTCATAAACAGTGCACTCATTTTCTAAGCATTTTTCTTCTGGTATAATGAAGAGTCTTTCTACAATGAAAGTTAGACATGGAACATTTACAACTCTTAAGAGTTTAAGCTAGCTAACCATAGTCAAATATAGTGAATCAGTATTCATTGTTCTGCTCAGATTTGTGGATGGATATCATTTTGTGTGCCAAAAGAATTCCAGAACTACATGCTGGTGACATAGTTAATGATGTTAAAAAACATTGTTAGAGATTTCATTTTAAATCAGAATAGCCAACTGTTCGTAATTGTAATGGCCAGTGATTGCTTTTGTAGCACCAGTTGTCATCTTCTATTTGAGCACTATTCCTGTGTTATAAGATGAATGAATCTTGATAAGAATTAATAATTAGTTCATCTTCTTGAAAATGTACTAGCCAGATGCTCAGACTTGTTTGGATGTTGCAGTTCATCTTCTAGTTCTAGTAGATAAATAAGAAGCTCAGCAAATGCTGCCCTTAAAAGGATCAATACATGGTATCTAGGATGACTGAACAACTTTCTATGTAACAGTAGGAACATTGTAGATCCTAACTTGAGTGACCAGAGATTGCTTCTGAAATCCAGAATTTGCATTTTCCCTTTTCCACTTCAATGTGTGATGGAATAGAAATGCTGTGAGCACTTACGTCTTTTTCAAGGATGACTTCCTCTTGCTCTCATAAATAGGGCTACATTGAAAGACAGCATCCAGAGAGAGTTCTAGGATGTAGGTTCTCTGTTGAGCACTAAGACATTTAAGGGACAATAAAAATACAGAACTTATTTTTTTTTAGAAATGAAGAGGTAATCCACAGACCATATACAACTCACCATTTGAAAGCATAGATATGGTGACTTGTGTCTGTAATCCTAAACTACTTGGGAGATGGAGAATTGGAGGATGGGGGTTCAAAACCACCCAGACAGAAAGTTGGCAAGACTCCATACCAGTTTAACAAAAATCTGAGTGTGGTGGCATGTAGCTATGATTCCAGCTATACCAGTAGCATAAATCGGATCTGGGTCCTGGCTAGTTTGGACATAAATGTGAAACTATTCAAAATAAAGCAATTAAGAATTAAAGCAACAGACGGGTTATGTGGCTTATTTGGTAAAGCTCCTGTCTAGCAAGTATAAACCCCTGAGTTAAAAGCTCATGATGCAAAAAAAAAAGTGTAGAGCTTAGTGGGTTTTTTTTAGTGTATTCAAAGAGTGGACAACCAGTATCTGTATTTAATTCCATCACTGTCAAAGCAACTCTGTATCCATTCATTAACAGTCACTTCCCATTCTTCCCCTCCCCCTTCACTTGGCAACCACTAATCTGCTTTATATCTCCTTTACTAAGCCTATAGTAGTTATTCCATATAAATGGATTAATGCACAGTGTAGCTTTGTATGTGGCTTCTTTTACTCATTATATTTTCACTGTTTATTCATTTTACAGTATATATCAGTACTTTCATTCTTCCTTTTGGCTAAATAATTTGCCATTGGATAACGATAAAGCAATTTGTTTATCCAGTTGTCATTTAATGGACAATTTGAGTTGAATGCCTTTTGAATACATTATTTTCTGTATTATTTTAGAAGCGTTATTATTGACTGATGATAAATGGGAGTAACATTAAATGTAGTAGATTCTTAATCTTTTTTCTTGCTACCATGTGCCCCTTACCATGTGCCTACCACCAAGGAGTGATTGGAAAACAAGGGATAATGCTTTTTTACATTATTCTTGATCCATATATCATATTACCATTTGTATCTTCCATCTTAGATTTTGCATTTCCAGCAGAATTTACATTCAATGGGGAGAAAACTTATTAGAAGGCAAGTACATTCTCAGGTTTAAGTTTAGAAAGGAACTGAGTCCACTTAGAATGACAGTTCTGCTGACCTCTGTCCCTTTATAAACTCTCAGTTCCTTGTTTAAGTCTTGGGAAATATACTGATGTCTTCCTCTAGAAGGGCTAAAAAAAGTCTCAAGTAACAAGAAACTGAAAAGGTCTTTCCCTTGAATCTATACAACTGACGTTAACTATGAAATCATGTTAATTCCCTCAGCAACCTTAGCAAACAACCCTGGGAGTAAATAATATGGAAATCATTTTTCTCAGTGATAGCTGCACATCCAGAGTCATCTTTTGAATACTTTTGTAAATATTACATATCCAGAGCCATTTTCCCTGTAACTGTGACTGAGATCATTCTTTGGGCTTTATTGTATGGTGGAATTTCAGGCAGTTCTGGGGGATATGGCACTGGGGTATCTTTATTAATGAGTTATTTTTCTTTATCTACAGCATCCTAGATAGAAACAGACCTCAGGATGAACCTTTATGCTCTGTTTCTTGTACATGTGTAACTAGAAAGGTTATCAGGAATGACCATAACAAACAAATTGATCCTTTTGTTCCAAAATGTAGGTGATACTCTGTAAATAATCTTGTGATTTAGTTACTTACAATTTGACATAAAAATTTTCTCTACTCAAGGGTAGAGAACAGTAACTGTTTACTGTTTTACGGTTTACTGTTACTGACAGCCATAGTTTCTTTTTATTAGATACTTGTCTAAATTTGCTGAGGCTTATCATCCTCCTGGCACTAATGGAGCTGATTTCTTCAGTAAAAGCTGGAACTATTCTGTTGCTTTTTTCTGATACAATTAGAGTACTCTACTGTCAGACTTTATTGGTGTTTAAATAACTGTCTTCAAATTGCTCTCAGTAAAATGTATGAAAAGATGCCTAAGGTAGCGAATGTGTTTTAGTTTGACTCAGCTGCATATTTTTAAAGGGAATAAAGTCATTAGACTCAGCTTGGTTGCAGTGTTTTAAAAAACAAAACAACAACAACAACAAACCCTTGAAGATGGTATTTATAGTTCTAGAAAGGTTTGATTATTTTCTGTGTCAGCATGAAGTACTTTCACAGTAGGATTATAGAGCTGGAAATGCTTCTGTCATATTCTACATTACTAGTGTTGTTTTTAACCCTAGCTCTGTACTGGAGCCTCTTAGGCTTTAACAAAATTACAATTGGACATCACACTGTTTTTTTTATAGCTACTTTCTTTTCTTCTTTTCTAACACCTAAGATGTGGA